GTGGCGTGCATCGTTCCATCCACTTGTGCTGCAGTGGATTCGGTGGCGGTGCTACCCCCTCGATTTCTTTTTTCGGCGTTCTGTCTTTTCGATTACGACCGTCAATATTTCCGCCTGTGTATCATCCTGTACCAGGTAAAGTAATGCATGTTCATCGTTTCTTCGTACCGATTCGGTGTGAAATCCACGTGCTGACTTGGGGAAGACGTCAACGAGTTTTGCGTGCGGCCGTACTTGCATCTGTGGATGGCATGGCGGGAGTCAAGCCTGCCAACGAAGTCGAGGGCGGACGTTGGACGATGGGACTGTGGTACTTTGGTATGTATCGTTCCCTTCTGAATATAATATATATATGCAGACTCACATTTGTGTGCAGATTATCGCATCGTTCATAAGCATTGACAAGGATAGATAGATCTCTTTATCGACCAGAAGACAAGAAGCGCCGACATCAACCTCCGATTTTGACTGATGCAAGTACATTCTCAATGGCGTGGGTCAAATGCACAGGATTCAGTCAAGTGCTCCTCGGCGTTTGTGCTCCTTATACGCGAGTCCCTCAAATTAAATATCCCTCTCAGTTCAGGTGCATTACTCGTTTTATTCATTGGTTACCAGGTACGCACCCGGCCCTCTCGTCATACTCGTGGCTATTCTCCCTCTGAAATGGACTGTACCTCCGCATCCTCCTAGCATGCTTCAGGCTTTTTGAGGCCAGATTTGGATATTTTTCCGGGACAATCCTTGAGGGGAGCTTCCCGGCTCAGTATAAGCGCAGCCGGATGATTCGGCGTGAAGCTAGAGGATGGGATGGAGAGAAAGAGCTGCACAAGGTACGATGAGAAGGCATGCGGATGATAGTGGCCGTCGAATCGAGAAGAGACGAGAAACACAGTGTCGCGAGCAAGAGGGTCTTCTATGGCGGTCAAAGTGCACATTTAATCGGCCGCAAGATAAAGTGGTGATTTCGGACTTACCGCAACAAAGATAAGTGATTTGACGTCTTCCCCGCAAGAAAGATAACGATAATCACGTCGCTTAACTTGCGGGGAAATCGTGGCATCCCGCAAGATATATATAGTGCCCCCGCAAGATATAGACACGTCGCCCGCAAGATACCAAGTTGCCCGCAAAAGTTTTTTGGAAAAATTTCCGCAACAAACTCGGTGAGTGCATAGTGCCAAATAAGCTTTAAATTGACTGCCAGTAAGTGGTGAAAGGCGCAACGGTGTGGGTTGAAACGAGTCTCCGGGTTATTTGTTTTTTGTATTCCCTACGTGTTACGGCTCAGTCACCGTTGACTTGGATAATGACCCAAACCCTGTACTGATTATGTTTCTGCTGACTGGTATGTGCTTCGTAGGCACTGTGTAATTCTGTGGCCAGAGGTCAGCATCCCCGAGATGGCCGATGGGGACTGAATGTCAAGAGATAGCAGTTCATGCCCTAATTTTGGCATCTTCGTCGCACAAACCATTATGCAACGGACTCTTCCAGTTGAACACTGTCTTAATGCTGATTTACTTCTTGGATCACTGTCACTCTCAGATTTCTGGGTGCACATCGTCACGGACAACGGCGTTTCTGACAGTGCAAGGAAAGACGGAAAGACTGCTCCTAGTAGATAGCTACAAGGATATGCTATGATTTTGTGAGATTCTTCTGTGGCTTTGAGGACACCATCATTGATTCATGCCTCACCACCCCAACCTCTGGGGGAACAGGGTGGTTCTATCCTCTAGCATCCGATATAGCCTTTCAGTATGAGATATTTAATTCGGAGAATTGGTCCAAGAGCCTAAACGGGAAGTACCGTTGATTTGAATGCCAATTGGATATCTCCGAGATGGCCGACCAATTCTGTGGGAGGCTCGAGAGTAGATTGAGAACTTAATTGTATTCATTCTCATCATCAGTTCCATGGTAGCCCTCAAGCTAAGCGGTAATTTTATTATATACACTCACCAAAACTCATTTATTACAGCCTCTTCGCTTTCTGATTGATATACTCGTTTCAACCCACACCGTTGCGCCTTTCACCACTTACTGGCAGTCAATTTAAAGCTTATTTGGCACTATGCACTCACCGAGTTTGTTGCGGAAATTTTTCCAAAAAACTTTTGCGGGCAACTTGGTATCTTGCGGGCGACGTGTCTATATCTTGCGGGGGCACTATATATATCTTGCGGGATGCCACGATTTCCCCGCAAGTTAAGCGACGTGATTATCGTTATCTTTCTTGCGGGGAAGACGTCAAATCATTTATCTTTGTTGCGGTAAGTCCGAAATCACCACTTTATCTTGCGGCCGATTAAATGTGCACTTTGACCGCCATAGTCTTCGACGTCATGCATGTGAATGACGACCCGAAAACGTGGGACAAAATAACCATGCAAGATTGGTCGTTTGAATAGAATTCAATTTTCTCCTGTCTCAGGTGCCGCGCAAAAAAGGACTAAACAGAGAGTCTAAGTGATTTCGATTTCTCATCGGGTGTGCCGAAAGCGTCAAATGTCCGAACGAATCAAATGTCCACAAGTATTATATTAAATGTACTAGGTTGGGCCAGGCGTGTACTCCGGAAGCCCTACATCTAGCGCCGCTTGCATCTGTTCAAGTTGCTGCTGCTGGGCGCTCATCTGGGTTCTCAACACCCGGATCTCTTCCAGCAAGTGCGCATTGGTGTGGTCCGGCTGGCCTGCCCCGGGCGCCTCTATCTGCTCCGCGAGGTCTCTAATTTCTTGCTCTAGGCGCGCCGCGTAGCGCGCCTTCTCCTGCATAGCAAGAACCCCACGGGAGACCGCCTCGGTCGGTGGGGATCTACCGGAGGCGAATGTACTGACGAGTTGGGAAGAAGTGGGCGCCTCCCGTGTCATAGGATTTGCCACGGGGAGAAGGTGGCGCGTTTGCCTTCGATGACGGGCTCGATAAATGAAGAGCCCCACCACCGCAAGAACAACGATTAGGCCGCCGACTACCGCCCCTGCGATAGGACCCGACAGATTATTTTTCGTTGCAATGACGGGTGGGGATGGATGCAGTATGAGAGACCGGCATAGAGGATGAGAATGATGCAAGTGTTGACGACTTTAACGCAGACAACGTTGAGGATGCAGAGGACGGCAGAGACGTGGGGCTGTTACATTCCGGGATGATGAAAGGAGTGTGGACAATACAGGGAATGACCCACAGGTTTGACGACAGCGCCGTAAAGATGACGAGTGCGCGGACAGTCACCGACTGAGTTCCGCCAATAGTGGTGTTCATGGAGAATTCCTCACTTCTTGAAATGAACGGAGTCCCATTCTGATCCTCCATAGGGAAAAATTGAATGAACCAACCAGAGGATGGTCCGGACCTAAAAAAATAATGAACAAGTGAACATACGCCGAAAGGAGAGCCATACAAGTCCACGAGATCCGGGAGATTCACTGTTGTGGTTAGGCTCGACGCGACCACGCCAGTGATCAGCGAGACCGGGAATCCTGCCACGGGGATTGTGTTCCGGAGCTGGATATCGAATGTGGTCCTGGCACGACAAATTGAATATCATTGGAATGTCTTTCCGGCGGGGTTTGAAACGAACCTACGGGTCAGAGGAACTCGGACTCGTCCAAGTTACAAGCAAGGAGCCCTCCGAAACGGCATTTCCAGACACCGTCTGGATTTGCAGGCCAGATGCAATGGGGACTGCGAGGGCGAGGATGGTGGCCCTGAAAACCCACCAGAGATGCAATCAATAGGGAGAATATTTGCAACTTCGGCATCATTCTGACCATATTTCGACCTTGGCGAACATTTTGCAGTGGGTTTAATGGGTCAGAAGCTGCCAGGCTATCAGGTGAGGAGGGAAGGGGCGAAGGAGAAGGCCAGAACACTGCCCCATCCGAAGAATCAGTTACTATTAGTTATCACATCACAATGCGGCCGGGAGAACATCAGATGCCTGTCAGATTCCCGCACCATTTTGCTCATGTTGCGCGTCTAATTCTATACCCCAATAGCGACCATAAAATAAACACAAAATTTTTATTCGAGAAGGCGGGAGTTCGAGACTTCGAGTCCCTTCCGTCCCATTCAAATTCAAAGTCTACACGCGGATTTTATAAAGAAGGTCTATCCCAAGACGTCTCACCTTTTCTTTCGCTTTGTTCTTATGCAGCTTCCTAGTGGGAGATTCAGCGCACGGATGAACGGATGAGACATCGGGTTGATTTATTTGAGGGGCGCGAATTATTTACCGGCAAGTCAGAATCGTAATAGCGAACAGAACATTTGCAAAGTTTGGGAATTTCCCTTTTTGCACGAGAAATTGCCCAGAAACGACATCGAAAGCTGAGAAACAAGCTGTTAGGGTTGTGATCCACTCCCATGAAGAGTGTTTACCTATATTAGCATCCGGCGGCGCCGAAGCCTTTAAATATGCTATATTTGCACTAGTTTATTACTTTTACTCTTACTATCGTACCACACTCAAGATATCGACAATCCTACTATTTGTTCGACGTCTTTCGTGGTCTCGTAAGAGTACGAGTCCTTACACAAGCCTTTATGGAGCGTTGGCGATCGTCCCGTAAAACTACATCGTGGATCATGGGCGATCCTCTCGTTCAAATACAGACATTGCAATCTTGCCGCGGGAAGGCGGGGGTTCAAATCCACCAGAGGCATTGTTTGGTCGCGTAAGGTTTCTTTTTGCATGTTTTTGACTGGCCGGAGGGTACCGATCGTTGTGCTCGACGCTTGAGTGAGGTGATGGTGGACTATGCACCGCGTACCCGGGAAGGCGAAGAAATGACAGTCAGGACAAAGACATAATATACAAATGAGCGGAAGATTTCGCGCACACATTGAGATTGGCGACCGAATTAAAGCCTTCAGGTTGGACGAAATGAACGACAGAAGATGAAACGCTAAGTTTGAATCGTCCCCAGCGAGACGCAAGACGAATAAGGCACACAGAAATACAGCGTTTACTGACGAGAAAATCCAAGTAATAAGCCTTCGAGGATCAATGGTGATCATCCCGTTCAAATACCACTCTTGCCAGGTCATTTATACGGGAAGGTATGAGTTCGAATCCCATCGGAGGTCTGTCCCAAAGGGTGTCGATTTTTGTTTTGCCTTTGTTCTTACTTCAGCTACCCTCTGGCAACCTAAAAGTGCGGTGAGCAGTTCTACTTTCCACATGCCTGTTAACAAGGTGGGAATATTGCCTTTTTAGATGTGAATCAATTTATCATGTCCTCAAATATTATTGGTGTGTCTCAGAGAACCGCCGCCGGTTCTAATCAACAACCACCTCGTGCATTCCGGCTGCACGTCGACAAGGTCTGTTTGCCTGGGTCGACCTTGGCTGGCCATAGTCGGCACCGGGTTGGATCGAGCCCCTCAGCCAACCTCAGCCAACCTCAGCCAACCTCGGTCCAAGTTGGCCGAGGGGCCATCAAAATATAGTGAGTGTATTGAGAATCATTGCATTCCGCGGCCCCGTCGGCAGAGCCTGTGACGTGGATTGACGTCGGTCGACCTCTGCCGATGTATGCGGAGTGATGTCGGCAGACTCTCCCGACTATGGTCAGCCAAGGTTGACCCAGGCAAACAGACCTTGTCAACGTGGGGCCGGAATGCACGAGGTGGTTGTTGATCAGAACCGGCGACGGTTCTCTGGCCGAGGGGCCATCAAAATGTAGTGACTGGCAGTGACACTGCCCCTCGTCCACACTGCTTGTTCTTATCACCTTGCTCTCTGAGGCCTTCATCTCACTCGAATGCTTACTTCCACCGACCCTCTGATTCGCTCTGTGCGTTCGGTGCAAGAAACACCGAGAGAAGGACGGCTCAGAGAAGAGATCATGGTACGTACAACTCGGAATCGTCTGTCTCTGGTTGAGGTTGACAGTGAATCCTTCCGGCTTTCCTATATCGTCTACGGAGAGAGGTGCATGCCTTTGTTAGATCTCGGAACACTGTGCTGACTTGATTCCTTCCGTTCTCTCCCCCCTCTGGCCTCGCTCTGTCTCGGCGACTTTTCTTGTCAATGCTGGCGCTCTTGTCAAGACAAGCCCTGGGTCGACCTGGCATTGGCGGGACAGTGAATAACCCGGCTGGGACAATAATCAAATAACCCGGTTCTGAGTGATCGCAACAAACAACAAGAGGGCAGCACTGAACAACCTGACTCTAAAGGGGAAGTTTGGCTGTAGCCGTCAAGGCGGGATGTTGCGAGACTCTTGAGGGGCAATGGAGTAACCGCCTAGTCACTGAACTCGAGGAGATCTTGAGAAGATGATGTGCGTACAAGCATCGTTCGTGGTCATGGTGAGAAAGTGCTGCGCTGTTGTCAGGTCAAAGTAGACTTGATATTAGACAAGGTAGAATCTAAGGTACATGTAGATTCTACCGAGTTTATATACTATATTCCCTGAAACTGATGGCTGGCTCCTTATGCAATACTGGGTGCTCCTAGGTGTTCAATCGTGGTAACGGGCGATCAGGGTACTGTAGTATTTCGTTCAAATCGACACTGGGTGTGACGTGTGACCCACAAAACCAATTCGACGTTTCGACAACAGCCAAAATTTGGCGTGACACTAGCGAAATTTTCGACATCGAAACGAAAATTTTGGCTTTTTTGGGTCTTACAGGCAATTTTGAGCCCTGTGTGATGCTCGGGAGGTTCGACAAACGGCCGCGTGATGCGTGACCCTTGCCAAATTTCGATATCGATAGGGGGTGCGTGACGCGTGACTGTTGATTTGAATGAAATACTACAGTATCCTGATCATTCGTTTCAGTTTGGCGTGAAGACATATTGGATAACCCCTGGTTGGTTATTGCGAGTCTTGATTGTCACTAATCTCCAATTGAGAATATGAATAACCCCTGGTTGGTTATTCCGCTTCATCGTCTTGTTGTTGGTTGCAAATACATTCAGCTATTTGCCCAGTATCATCGTTTCGATAACCCAGGGTGCCTGGGGTTCAGGATTTGAATTGGGCCAGAAGTTGAAGGCATGTCGAATCATGACAGCTCTGGTGGACTTAAATTCGATTTGTGGGTGTTATTGGGCGTAACAAGAACACAGACCGCCCGATGTGCAGGCACGAGAAGAGTCTCAAGAGAGGGAAATTGCAAAGATGCGTCCTGGAGTGATCTGTATGCGCTCGAGGCTCATGGGGAGGCTGGGCAGCTTTTCTATTGACTTCTACAATATAGGTGCCTGTGTTGGTGGCTTCTCCGAACGAAGCACTCATTTGTCTTGGTCGATTTTTTTGTCTTTGTCTCTCCTCTGCAATTTCTCCGACTGGACGATTCACTACGACTCTCGGTTCTTTATTCTGTCAAATCCGCCTTCCACGACGATGTGCGCACCATCGGCACCCCAACCCCTACATCCGCTAGGCGTGCAAACTGGGATTAGCCCCAAGTCCCTCAGCAATGCAAGTATCAATTCCAATCCATTGGGTTCATCTGGAGGCTAACAATCTATTGGCAGCGGCCAACTCATTCCCCATCCACAGATCACGGTGAAATCCCCCACTTCGTAGCGACAACAACACTGATTTTCTTCAAGATCAGACCGAAAAAAATTATTCCGAACTTGAAGAAAATATAAGGTGAATTACAGATGCTCGAGAATATTCGTCTCGTCGACGTGGAGCAGCTCCATTACAGCCTTTCTCGCTCCGTCCTTATCTGCCGCCTCAAGTATTGCCTCCAGGCGTTGCCGGCTGTGTAGCAATTTAACAGCAACCTGCGGCCAATCCATCGGGCCCATCGCTCGGTCAGCCACATCGGCGGAGACCAGCTTCCCACCGAGCTTCCGAATCTGCCCATCGACGACCACCGTCTCGATATCGCGCACCGACGCATGCATCACAATCGCGGCCACGGGGTCGTGCTCCGCTGCACATATCATGCCGGGACTCCGCCCCTCGAACACAGCGATATCAGCTAGCTTCCCCACCCCAATGCTGCCGATCTCAGCACCCATTCCCACCGCGCGCGCACCCATGATTGTCCCGAGATTGAACGCATGCTCGACGGTAGCGCCAACCGCGCGCGGGAGCTTCTCCTGCTCGACGAACTGCTGGTTGCGTGTCCCTCGCGCGCTCTGCAGTGCGAGCCGCATCTGCGAGAGCATGTCGGCCGAGTTGTTGGAGTGGCAGTCGATCCCGAGGGAAGAGATCGCGTGGAGGTCGGGGTGGAAGCAGACTGGGGTGCCGTGGCCCATCTGGAGCTCTATGTCGGGGGTGGCAGAGACGTGCGCTTTGGCGGCGAGGAGGCGCACTGCATCCTCTGCCTCCGCCTGGCTTGCGTGCGACAGGAGGATGTCGTCCTTCAACAGTCCGTAGGAGTGGAGAACATCCACAAGTGAGTGCTGACCTGTGACATCATTTGTCTCTAAAGGAATTGACCGTCTGTGCGCCCGCACGTACCGAAGAGGGCACCCCTGACATAGTGGGATGTGAAAAGCTTAACACCGAGCCCACGTGCAGTTTCAAAGAGAGAAATAACGACATCCTTGGGGAAGTAGTAAGCATCAAACGCGACCCCTAAACGCACGCGCCATTTCCAAAAGGCTGGTTTGCGGCGAAATCGGCGAGTTGTTTGGCTGCCCAGTCGGGCACACCCATGATGCCAGGTGCAAAACGGAACGGCGCCCACGACGCGACTGCGGGATGGGGTACGGGACAGTAGCAGAAGAAGGAGCGGATTCCAGAGGCCACAGTCGCCGAGAGTGCGGCGGATGCTGATAGTCAGATGAGGAGAAGAAGTCGTTAGATTGTCTGTGCTTACAGTGCTCGCCGGAGATGTTGAGGTGCGCGTGGTCGACAACGGTGGTGATGCCTCCGTCCATGGCCTCCATACAGCCTCCCAATTCTCCCCAGAACACGTCCTCCGGATCGAAGACGGAACCCATAAACCCGCCTGCCACGAAATATAAATGTCAGACTGTCGCACTTAAATGGGTATCGTTCCCTAAAAGTCTCACCTTTGGAAAGGTAGTCTAACAACAAATCGTTGGCATGGCGTCTGGGATAGATGATGATGTGTATCCACGAATCCTGGGGACACTATCTTCCCCGTGCAATCGAGGATGATTGCGTCCGAGGGAGGAGAAATGGACGGCGCGATGGAGGCTATTTTGTTGTCGATAATGAGGATATCGGTTTTGACTGGTGTCACCTTGTCTTTTTCGTCGTGGAGGAGAACCGTTCCATTTGAGAGCAGGATGGATGAGGTTGGCACCATGTCGAACAAAATCGTCCTAAGTCGTCTTCAAGGTCTGAGACAGGGCGAGTCGAGAGCACAGTATATAAGCCAAAGACGGATCAGACCGATTTACATCCCCGCGAACCCGCATTGCGAGACTCTGCAGCGCGAACAATCTCATGTCACGGCCAAGAAGTGCGTCGTGAGACTTCGTTGGTAGACTGCCTTGTTTGTTGGATTATTAATTATCCGTATGGTCAGGATGCCGTTGTCGAAACGCGGCTGTGGCGTTCGCTGCGGCCATCGCATTCGCCGCTTACATACTATTCTGCGACCATTCTTATTCCTTGCAACCCCGCTCAATCCCTCACAAACAACAAGGAAACCCACGAATTGGGCGAAGGGAGGACATAGGCCAAAAAAAGAATTTACAAAAAGAAGGTGATGCAGTGCGTGCGCGCCGGGCGCGCTTCAAAATCCCTCGCCAGCCGGTGACTGAAGGAAGCCGTATATCCTACACTACCCCTCCGTCTACCACACTGCCTCACAACAGATGCAGGGCCAGGCTCATCTTATCCACCGGCGTGGGATGACGTTCACTTCTGTTGCCTTTGACACCGATCTTGCGTTCAGAAAATCGTCTACGTGTGAGCGTAAGTTCACGCCGTGTCTGCAGGCATGGAATTATGTCTTTTATATGAATCGAAACCTTGCTTCAATTTTTACCAGGCCTTACTGCAGCTACGGGACACCGCCGGCAACTCATTTTTTTTGGCTAACGTAAGATCAGTTCCCATCCTTCAATTCAATGCGAATGGCCAACAGTAAACGTTTTCTGTCAGCACTCCGTTCAGATCGTTTGTTCGGAGACTATA